CCGACGGACTTGAGATGGCCGGGCGCTCGAGGCGCCTGTAGCCCGAACCTCGCGTATTATTATTACGCGTTATGGTGACTAAGCTCGAGGGCTCCCGAGGGAACCTCGACTCGGGCTCTTAGGGCGCTTTGGCGGACGGTCCATGGAGTGATCAGGCTCAAGGGTCCCCGAGAGGGGACCTCGGCTTGGGCTGTCACTCAGCACGCGTTTAGCATTCCGATTCGAGGGTGCCCGAGAGGGCCGGACCTCGGCTCGATCGGTAGCTGTTATCTGACTGGGGGGATCTCTAGAGCTATCATTACTACCACTTCGTAAAGCGTTGGCGCTGGGTGAAGAAATGGCGGAAGAAACTCCAGCAACGCTTCTATCATTAACTGGGGAGAACCTGCCAGGTACGTGGCGGAACCTAGTATATGTTTGCCGCACTCGCCGGCGAGTGCGGTGTGTATTGGTGTGTTTGCGTAGTTTTTTAATCCTTTCGATGGCGATAGTCGTCTCATCGTCAGGAAAGTCGAGAACGTGTCGCGGTCTACGGTGATAGCGTCGGAACGTACCTAGCGGCATGGGTCTATAGGTGGCGGCACCTACGATTAGCGGGTTGGGATGCGCGTGTCTCTGCGCAAGAATCGATTTTGGATGACCTGAAGCCGGTGTATTTGCTTCGGAGCAATGTGTGCGAAAACCGGACTCGCGTACGTCATAATAGGGCGAACTACTGCCTTATATAAGGTCACCTTGTTCCGAAGGGACATTTTTGACGTTTTGTTGAGGAGCGGATGGAGGCGACTGAGTACGAAGGCCGCCCGGTTCTTGACGCGAGTCACGTGCTGGCTGAATTTAAGTTGGAAGTCGAGGACGACACCTAAATATTTGACTTTGTTCACCCATGGTACCGGACTATCCATGAGTTTAACGGGGGGTGGTTTAGGTATGGTTTTATGTGAAAAAAGGACGGCCGCGCTCTTGGCGGGATTGATTTCGATCCTCCATTGCCGAAACCAATCACCGATGGTGATGGCTGCGGCTTGGAGGCGTCGATGGATTATTTCGGGTGTTCTGCCTGTGATATAAAGACAGATGTCGTCGGTAAAGAGGGCAAATTCTACATCCTTGACACGCGGCATGTCATTGGTATAGAGTGTAAATAGGACTGGGCCCAACACCGACCCTTAGGGCACCCCGGCTCGAACGGGATGCGTTGTCGAGCACACGCTCTCGACGCGATACCGAAAGGTCCGATTACTTAAAAAGTCTCGTATTATGCATACGAGACGGTCGGGCACAAAAACCTACGTTTATGATACTTTGCACGTTTACCAAGACTACTATCCTCCTTATTTGTACCATATTTTTTTATTTCTATATATTTTAGTTTTTTGTTTACTGCAATTATTAGCCCATATAGGTTAATTTTTGCCATAATTATTTTTCTCCAAAAATATCCTAAAACGGCCAATGGGTCAAATTGGCCGTTCTGCGCGTATTACGCTAATTACATAAGAAATGAAAATATATTTAAATTTCCACTCATAAAATGTATTGACAATTGAATTAAATTGATAGCTCATCAACTGAATAAAATATATTTAGGAATTGTGGTAAATATTGGTACTTATTCGTCTTACGATCTGGCAATATAATAACCGTGATTTTAGTTCGATCATTTAAATAATACAAAATACACGATAGACTTAGTTTTATTGAAACAAAAAAAAATCAGCCTTAATTAAATAAAATAAAGAATTTTTATTTATAGACTCGCATTTAAAACGAATTGTATTTTATTAAGAAAAATAGTTTAAAAAAATTTAAAAATGTCGTAGCTAACTTTAATTTATTAAAGATCTCCGTTTGATTCTTTCTTTCGTTTGTGTACATCGGAGCACCATTCAGAGAGAGTGTAAATATTATTTTGTTTTGAAGCTCTCTCAATGGTGGCATGTATGGAGTAGCCTTCATTTTGAGTTTGGCCTTTCTCAAGGAGAGTATGTTTTATATTTACATAAAACTGGTTTACTGCATAAAGATACAGTACCTGGAGGACCTGGAAGGTCCTTAAAAGGCCTGACATTTTAAGCATTAATTGTGTTTTTATTAACTTGTATTTAAAATGAAGAGCTGAAATTGTGTTACCAAATAAAGGACTTTACATTGTTTTAAAATAAATTGGAATCGCAATAAAATATAATAAGACTTTGTATATATTGGCTGATGACATCGAGTTACCCAATTTTTGTATATTCACCCATATATATATGATAAGAATTGCACGTTTAAAGGTATAAGATAAAAAATGTTATTTTTAGAAGGGCCTTTTTTAAAAGAATAACGAGCATTAACATAACAAACAGGGTGTCTTTTAGACTGGTGAAATGAAAATTAATATTTTTGTTAACTATATCTCGGTACTGCTTTAACGACTCACATTTATTACCATATTTTGTTGGATCATGCTATTCTTTGTACAAGTGATATATTCGGATATAAAGTTAAAGATTAGTCTAAATAAAGTTTGTCTTTACGAAAATAATGTGAATAGACCGGTACAAACGAGTTGATGTGATCCGTTACATTTTTGATCATCTCTGAATCAACAGATGTTTTTTGGTGATTATGTTGATCTCTTTTATCCATTAAAGAGAGCCTATGTGTACTAGCAGATTTGTTGATAATTGGCTGCAATCTTTCACTTCTTGAACTAATAACGAAAGTAAAACTCAATAATATAAATATGGAGTCATCACAGCGCGGTCGTTTGCTCCGTTTGAATTATAAGTCTATATCAGCCAGCAGATTGGCCCAAAAGCAAAACATAAACAAATTCGCGTGAACTCCTCACGTATAAGTCTCAAATCACTCTTTGGACCTTGTACGCACAAACTCATGCTACATACGCCGTTATACCGTCATAAAAATGGTGAAAAATGGACTTCACATATCTCTGAAATATAAGTATATTTTTTTTATTTCGAAAATATGCAGGTTTCCTCACGACGTTTTCCTTCACCGCGGAGCACGTGATAAGTCAGCAGTTAAAATTAACAATTTCATTGGTGCCGGCACCGGAGATCGAACTCAGGTTACTCGAGTATATTGAATTAAAGGCCTGCGCCCGGACACTCAGCTACCACGGCCCTTAGACATAGGACCCATCGATATGTGTATATGAGTAAACTTTTTGTAAATTCTGCGAAACTTTTCTCGTGGACAAAGCGCGGGTAGCAAATGAATAAAATGCATTGCTAAAATGCAAATGCTGTTATCGGACTGACAATGGCAGTCCGGACTGTCAATGACTAAAGTATAAACTAGCTATAGTCTAGAGTATTCAACTAGACCAAATATGATGCTGTATTTATGTTACACAAGAGGTAAACGATCGGGCGGTTCGTCTGATGTTAAGTGAAATACTGTAGCGTTGCAAATGCGTTGCCGACCGGGTGTTTAAATTCAACGTATTTCTAAAAGGTTTTAAAAAAATAAAATGAAATGTCTTATTAAATCTACTTATAATAAAAACAAAAATTAATTCAGAAATGTACCCTATGCTGCCATCTACATATTTAATTATTTAAGCAATTATATTCATTCAGAGAGTTTTTTGTGTTTTTATAGATGGCGTTAAGAACTTCGATTCCACTTTACGATATTAAATATTTTTTGTAATTTTTAAAATAGAATGTGAAACAATACTTAAGCACGTAGTAAAGTGTTGTAAATATTTGTAAGTTTTTATATTATGACACAATTAATACTTTTATGTGCATTTTATTGCGCATGCTCCAAGTTAGCGATCGAAAGTATCGAAGTAGAGGGCGCATGGCGCGCATATCATCTTTCCCGTTTTCCGTCTCACTCTCGCTCCTTTTGTGACATTTTTGCGAAACGTCCATCGTGTTTCCTCATAAAAATATATTTAAAAAATCATATTAGGGTATGGTCGGTAAAGTTAATAATTTAAAAAACCGTGACATAAAATCTGTAATCGTGGTAAAATTTTCTCGTGCCAAGTGCAACTAAACTATCAAGATTCCGCCGATACTACAAAGCCTACCCAGTGGGTGGCTTAATTTGGTAAGTTTCCCTTTATTATTTCATATTTACCACCCTTTTAATACTGGATTGCGGAATGATTACATATGCAAATGACCTTCTACAGAATTTTATAACATATCATATGGAAACATTCACGTCATTACTCTTAAATTCAATTGCCAATATTCTTAGCCTTCACTCTTTCAACAAAAACGGACATTATATTAGGTGAGCATGATATCACACGTATAGTAATAGACTATCTGAATTAATAACTGGAGTGATTCAGACTTTATATCTATCATTATTCCGAATCTGCTGTGTGACGAAATTTACGTCATTGATAACGTGTAGGTATTTTAGTAGACACATCGTTTCATTATTCTAGAAGCTTATGTGGTTTTCACCTTCAAAAAAAGGCTAGCACATCTATCGAACGATTTAAACACTTCATTGTGCATTTTTTTCAAATGAGTTTTGTCTCAACTAATAAAAAGAAATATTTAAATAATTGTTGTTAATAAAATACAAATTTTTCCCTAGAACTTGTTTATTATATAAAACCACCTTTATAAATAGCACCAATTTATAACAAACTTCATTTATTTTAACATCTTTTATATTATATTTGTTTATTTATTTCACACATAGGTACATATTTAGAGTAAATCTTTAGAAATGAAAAAGCGTGAATTCTGATCACATCTTTATTTTTTGATTTATTAGTGTTATTTATGTTTTGCTTGGAATGTTGAGAAACTCTTTTGTTGCTGCCTTGGTTTATTAGTAAATGCTTTTGTTTTCAAACACGCTTTTTCATTTCTTTATAGGTTTGAAGCACCAATCCTTTTAATATGGAACAAAAACGAGATTCCTTTTTTGTTAAGAATAATAAATCTAAAGGAAAACATAAAAATAAACCCAAACCGGAGAAACCAAAATCAGGCAGTGAGTCTAATAGACAAATGGATTTTGACAAAAAACGTCCTGCATTGGAAAACATAAAAAAGGATGCCAGCAAGAAACCTTTTGATAAAAAAGCATATCGTTTAAAGAAATACAGTAAAAAGTATAAATTAGAACAATGGGAGGAGCAGAGAAAGAAAAAAATGCTCTATGATTATCATAAAAGTATCAAAAATGACCCAATGCTTGGTTCTTACAAACCAAAATCTTTTGATGAAGATACTATTGATTCAAATGAACAAAATGTTGGTAAGTTTGTAAGACACCCTGATTTAATTGAAAAAGAAAATATAAAAAAACAAACAGAGAAAAGTAAAAGAGACCCTTTTTACAAAGCGAAACAACACCTTGAAAAGATTAAACAAGAGAAAATGCAGAAGCAGCAGGAATTAGAGAAATCCAGGGTGGAAAGAGCACAGAAGCTGGAAGAATATAAGAAGAAAAAACAAGAAAGGTTTAAGAAATTAAGCAAGAAAACAAAGAGAGGACAGCCAGTGATGACTGGAAGACTGGAATTGCTGTTGGAAAAGATTCAGAGCACATAAGCATCCATTTCATATGTTTAGCACTAAAATCTTAATGAAATATGGTCCTCATGTGACTTGATCTGTTAAATTTCTCTATAAACTTTAAAGAAAACACACTCTCCTTTGACTTTATCAATTTATTCACCTTTTCAGAGTTTAAATTAAATCACAGCAGTAGAGATGGGCCGTATCGCTTTTTCTGAGAACCGTATCTGAATCAGATTTCGATTTCAAATATCAGATTTCGAAACTATGTATTTTAATATCTAGATATTTCACGTTGGCGTATAAAAAAAAAAAAAGAAAAAAAAATAGTTAATTTTAAAGGTTAAGGTTCTGGTCCAGTGAGTCCTACAAGGTACGTTCATAAGCGTTTCGTTTTATTGCAAAGTTTTGATAATACATAATTCAATTATGTATTATCAACACCCCAGAACACGCAACCATGTGTGACAAAATTTTTATATTTTGTGTAACAAATAATACATTCAATATTATAGTTTAGTGCAGAAGAATTTAAAATATTACGGTGGTAGGGCCACGCAGCAGCCTCGGCTGTTGCACGAATGGGCAGGCCCGTCCGGGTAAGTACCACGACCTCACAGAAGACCGGCGTAAAGTGGAAGTATGACAAATACTTTCGCGTTTCGTCTGGTGAGTGAGGTAGCCGGAGCCCAGTTTTCAAAAGGTTGTCAACGCATCTGTAACCCTCGAGTGTAGCAGATGTCCATGGGCGGCGGTATTCACTTAACATCAGGTGAACCGTCTGCTCGTTTGACAACTTTTTCGCATAAAAAAAAAAAAAAAAAAAAAAAAAAAAAAAAATTAAAATATACACACAAGACACATAAGCCTTGGCCTTAAGTCCACCAAAGCAGCACAGCACTATACAATTATATTTTACTTTTTCGTTTTGTGTACTTTTATATTTTTTCCAAAATGTGAATAAAATTTAACTCCTAAAAATATTCCTAAAAAATTTACCTCCTAAAAAATTTCCATTGTAAGTATATATTCCTACATATTCTAAAATTCCTTAATTTAGGAACAAAATTCCTAAGTTGGCATCCCTAACTATTACGTTCATAGGTACCAATGCACTCCAGCTCAAGGCTAAACTTTAAAGACATCGTAAATACCATGATTCGTATTTAAATGAAACAGAGATTTTTTCCATGCTGTTAAGATTCAAAATTACTTACTCATTCATAAAATCAGTTGGAAAATTTGATATTGTGCATTGTTTGCTGTACCCCTCTAACTAGTGTAATATTTGTATCTCACGCGCTTTCTCACTCGCTACGGATCAAGGCTAAATAAAAGAATTATCTCGTTGATACCATGCTTAGTATTTAAATGAAATGGATCTTATTTGTATGATGTTAAGATTCAAAATTACTTAACTTATTCATAAAATCTGTTTAAAAATCTGATATTGCTGCTGTACTACTCTAACTAATGTAATATTTGTATCACACGCGCTTTGTCGCTCAAAATCTGTTTGAAAATCTGATATTGTGCATTGCTTGCCGTCCCGCTCTAATTAGTGAGTATTTGTATCTCACGCGCCTTGTCGCTCGAAATCTGTATAAAATCAGATATTGTAGGAAACGCGTATGATATCGCGATTCGTGTTGGTATAGCGAGTGAGCGAGTATTCGGTACATCAGATTTCGGAAATATCAGATATTGTAAAATACATAGATTTTGAACGAGCCAGTAAGCGATTTTCAGATATTGTATCAATATATAGTTTTCGTATCTGTATACGATTTGTATCGCCCACTTCTACACAGCAGTATTGTGGCTTTATAAGAATTTTAATTTCTTGCTTATTTAAGTTTTAACTGCATTACCCATTCTTTTGTTCAACTTTTAATGATTTCTTTCAATGTTGTAAAAACTATTCAAAGGTTAATTGCCATAAACTAGACTTCATTGTTTCTCATCATTCAAACAACAACATATTTTTACTGTGTGATGTTTGATTTGCTCTTTTAGTTGTGCCAAAATATATCTGTAAGTAAACTAAAATTATCAAATATATACAGAAAACTCAACAACATTTTTGCAGAGAGTTAATTAAAAGTACAATTAATTGTGGTAGAGCCATGCAACAGTCTTCGCTGTTAGACAGATGGGCAGGTCTATTCTCTGAAGTACCACAACTTTTCAGACAATGGATGTGAGGTGGAAGACTTCTGCACTTCATGTGGTGAGCAAGGTAACCGGGGCTCACTCTATTAAAAGGTGGCAAGGCATTTACAACCCTACATGTTGTTGCAAATGTTCATGGGCGGTGGTTAAACCTTCACAACAGGTGAACTAGCCAATTAATGCAGGTCTAATGAATAATGCAGTGCAGTTGAATAAAATTATAATTAATCATTAAAGGGTACTGTAGTGCAGACAAAAAGTTTACATATGTACTCTTGAATGTTATTTAAATAATAATACATGCATTACATTCAGTTCATTAGTCAATGCTTTCATGAAATTTTCATAATGTGAACATAGGTTACATGTTTGAATAAATCTAAGTTCAAATGAAATATAATGATTTACAGATAAATTTCACATATAGGGATCGAATCTTTGAAGTTTCTATAAGAAACTACCATATTCTTTGTAAGCCTTAATTTCCGCTCTTTTCAAGATAACTTCTTGTGCTTACAGTTTTGATGAATTCTTTTTTGAACATCTTTGTTTATAGTTTTTTTTATATGAGAAGGTGGCAAGTGACCACTGATACATGAGTAGACCATGAGGTCATTTGCAACACTGTTAGGGTTGCAGTTGTGTTTTAACCATTTAAAAAAATGGGCTACCGTTCATTGCCTGGTTGGACCAACCAGACCGGCGTAAAGTAGAAGTGTTACACTTCTGCGTTTCAACTGGTGATTGAGGTAGCCGGGGCCAAATTTATTTAAAGGTGGCAACGCATTTACAACCCTACGGGTTTTGCAAATGTTCATGGGCGTCGGGTATCACTTAAAATCAGGTGAAACGCCAGCTCGTTTGCCACTTTCTCTCACATGGACCTGCCCATTCATGCAACATCGAAGACTGTTGCGTGGTCCTACCACATTCTTACATCTAATATCTGACACTTTTTTAGTGTGGTATAGCCATGCACAATCTTTTGCTATTTGCGTGAATAACTGGCATTCACGCTATTAAACGTGTTCAATATGTCTGCGACGATCCCACTCGTTAATTCGCTCCAGGTATCGCCCGCTAGCTTGCCCCACCTTATCTTATAATAAAAATATAGAAGCGGCACTAAAAAATTTATAAGCATTCAAATTTATTTTGGGTGATGTCATATTACGTACATTGCCTTAATTAATATTATTATTACCAACTGCTATAACTTACACCAATATCTTATGTAGCAAAATATTATAACCTCTGTTATCTTTTGGCGCCATTTTCAAAATTATAGTCAGTTGACTGTCGCGTGATTAATATTTTAATAATTCTTAACCTCTTGATATGTCGAATCACGGTTCAAGTTGTATCAGGAATTGGTTATCTGAGCGTATCTTGTTAATACTTTTTTTTTTTTTAGAAACATTACATAAAGGTCTTAGTATTCAATGTTTGTCTAGCCACAGGTTTTATTTTCCCTCTCCTATTTTTATGGAGAGAAATCATACATGATAAAGTTAAACATATTTTCTTGAATTATGATATTTCTATAGAATATAAATTAGCACTGACAAGGAATTTACTACATATAAAATAAATAACCATATCTTCCTTTATAGATAAGAATAGTTTATTTATTAAATTATCTACAGCCTAATTAACAATGTGTTCCTAAAGCAAAGCTGTTTTCGCAATGCGGGTGAAATGATTGAATTTACATTAGGAAGACGCAAATTGCTATGTTTACAAGATGCAGCGAAACGATAATCGCTGCACAGACAGGGGTCTTACGTTATACAAACAAATTGTTTGTTATAGCAATCTTTTAAGACCTTGAGGATTTTGAGATTGCTCTTAGATGTTTCGAGAAAGATCGTTTGCTTGTATTATTTATTTTTTACGGCAGAAGGGGGCAGCCGAGCAGGGAGTACACCTGATGGTGTTTAAGGAGTTTTGACATTGCGCTTATTTAACTTTGTATATTTATAATTCTTCTGTACATGTGTATGTAACTGAACTCCTAAACGGCTGGACCAAATACAATGAAATTTTTTGTGTCTTCAGGTTGATTCGAGAATCATTTAAATTCACAATCCGTTTTTTTTGTTGTCAGATTTAAGACGTGTGTACTGAACGTCTATCGGGTCCGCTAGCTTATTTCGACAAATATCCAATACTTAAAAGTTATAGCACATTCCAGTTTGTGTTTTTCATTAGAGAAGGTGGCAAACAAACAGGCGGTTCACCTGGTGTTAATTAAAGACACGTCTAATATTGCATTTTTATGCCAATCACGAATCACGTGGTATATCTGCAACAACAGAAGCTGATGCGTGACTCCATCACAGTATTTGTGGTCTCCGTTGCGGCATGTTGATTGAGTGAGAGATATTTAAGTCGCAAAGGCGTTGCAGCATTTGTGTTTTTTTTTTTAATAATAACTGTACTTATAAATGAATAATGATATTATTTATTTGTACAGTTGCTAATTAACAACTGGAATAGTCAACCTCAATGTCAAAGGCCTTTTGTGTTTTAGCATTTAGAATGTCTTTCTTTTCTCGTTGAAATCTTGATCCTTTAAATTCGATTGATCGTTTATACGACCAACATATTACTGTTTCGGTACCGAGTATTGTCCCATTTTACATTTATCCTATAACCTCTCAATGTTATGCTATGTTATCTCCTTGTATCTAATAATTTAATCTATCAATGGGGAAATGTATTTCTTAACCTATATTTTAATTTCGCGCTGATTTTCCTATTGCATCTTAATCATAACGCATTCTCCAATTCTGTGTAATTTTTTTGCGAAACAACAAAATACATAATCGACGTTATCAAACCTTGCTATGTCGACG